ATCACTGACTGTATATAAAGACCATCACTGACTGTATATAAAGACACTGACTGTATATAAACACTAGTTTCATCCTGTCGAATGAAGCGGGTCAGATTTTGGGGTCGCTCGCTGCAGTGAGGTCATCACAAGGAGCCGTTGAACTGCTGATCTGATGGTTTATGGGGAAACATCTGTGGCGTGCGGCCGGCGGTCAACGAGCCAAAGAAAGCCGTGGTTATTTCTGTAAGGCCTCTTCAGAATTGTGCTTCCTAAAATAAAACGGCAAGTTGGACGTGGCTGCTGGGCTGAAGGCTTTTTATAATGTCGGCCTCGTGTAAACAGACTGACTGTCGTCTGCAGGGAAAGACTCCGAATATCAATCAATCCGTTCATCAATCAATCAGAGTTAATTGTCTTGAGAGCTCAAGTTAACGCCGCTGCTCGTAACTGATTATTATTACTCTTATTATTAGGAGATTGTTGTTCGTAGGATCCTGTTGAAATTGTTCTAAAATAAAAAATTATAATATCTGGAGCAAGAGTTATTTTTGCGACGTGTTGATAGCAGTGGTACCACAGAGCAGCAAAATGTTCATCGTTCAAATAACTTAGATTTAAGAAATATTTATATTTTTAGATTTAGAAAAAGAAGGAAATAGAGTAAAGATTTGATAATTTACAGTTTAACCATTAACTGTTTTATTCTTAACTATAAATTAAAAGAAAAATGCAAATATAAAATAAACAACATTTTTATACAACATACATCTTTTCTGCATAGTTTATTCTGTATCACCGAACATCACTGATGCTCCTTTGACTGACTCATATCAGACCAACTGACACTGATCCAGTGAATCTGTGGCGGGATCAGTCTTTGGTTTAATACTTATATCAGTCGGTGGTGGAGGAAACAGTCAACACATTATTTCCTGCGTTCAAGATGAACCTGAAATAAATACACAAAATATATTTTACTGATTAAACCCATCGGTTCTCGTCAACACTGAGATTCATCATCTTTATCAATGAAAATGTGCTGCGTGAAGTTAAAGTCTCTGATTCTGTCCCTTCTGTCAGATATCCAGGAGTTTTACGAAGTGACCTTATTGGACAGTCAGCGATGGGCAGAGTCTTCCAAGGGGGCGGAACCCATGGCGCCCGTTAACCTGTGGGACTTCTCCAGCCTTCAAAGCACAACGGTGACCTCGGACACTCTGCCCAGCCTCAGTACCAGCATCGAGGTAACAACACAAACCTGTCCAACCCCAGTCACTTTCATTTCCCATGGTTCGTTCAGTGTTGTGGTTTGATGGATTGTCACTAAACACAAACTGTGGACACAACCGGGGAGTTCAGTGGTTTTCTAGTTGTGTCTGAACGGTTCCTTCATGTTGTTTCTTAGAAACAGAAACACCCTCAGTAAAAATAGAGAATTGAAAATAGATCACACTCTTCAAAACGTCACAGGATGATGACTGAAAGTGGTTTTTGTTTGCTTCAACGTTTTATTCTGGAGCTTTTATCAAAACAGGAAGTGAAGTGTGTCAAACCTCTTGATTACACAAGACACATGGTGTCACAGGTGGTGAGTTTAGTTTGGACAGTCTGACTCGGCTCTACTGTAAAGCTGTTAACTGGTCTGAGGGTCGTCTGTCCGCCTCAGACTGTTGAGTGTCACGTCGCCTGGTAACCATAGTAACACCCAGGCGTCAGGAGCAGAAGGTGAACTGTGACCTGTCGATGTTGAAGGTTCATGAGGTTGTTTTCTGATCTGAAGCTTCATGTTTGTTCAGGTTTCATCTGATCTGTTAGTTTTTGTTTCACTTTTGTCTCACACTCGTACGTCCTGTCCTCATCACCTACGTGGGCGTCGTCTACCTATACTCGACTCTGATTGGTTTGTATACCGCGTCCGACGTGGGCGTGTTGTCAGGTGGGGGGGTAGTAGTCTCTCTCTTTGAATTGAGAATATGAATGAAGCTTCATTTGGTTGACATGGTAACATCATGATGGTATCACTAGCAGCATTAGCACCTTCAGGCACAGTACTCTACAGTACTCCAGTACTCTACTGTACTCCACAGTACTCTACAGTACTCCAGTACTCTACTGTACTCTACTGTACTCCACAGTACTCTACAGTACTCCACAGTACTCTACAGTACTTCACAGTACTCTACACTACTACAGTACTCCACAGTACTCCACAGTACTCCAGTACTCTACAGTACTCTACTGTACTCCACAGTACTCCACAGTACTCCACAGTACTTCACAGTACTCTACAGTAATCTACAGTACTCCACAGTACTCTACAGTACTTCACAGTACTCTACAGTACTACAGTACTCCACA